GTGGGACTTAGGAATCAGTAGGTTCACTACCACTCCAAATAATGCATATAATCAGTCAAATTTGAAAAACATTGCAGAATAGGATGCAAAAATGAATGAGACATAGCCCCTTCTAGGAAAGAGTGCAAATGGAAAGCAAATTGGTGCACAAAAGTGCATTTAAAGAGAACCCCCAAGAGGTAAGGAAGACATGAAAACCATTGGAGGAATTGAGGAGTGTGCTTCCTGGAAGAAACGACATGTGAGCAAAGTCTCAAGATTAGTTATGACCTCACACGAAACCAGATATAGAAAGAATCACTAAGAAGTAGTAATAGCGTGTATTTCTCAAGTGCCTGCTAAATGCCAGGCATTGTGCTAAGCATTAAGCCCACCTTATTTTATTTAATCCTCACTGCAACCTTAGAAGAAGCTATTGCCATTCCCCATTTCAAATGAGGAAGGCAAGGTTTTGGTTACCACACTGCCTAAGGTGACACCGTTCACATATGCAGAGCTAGGTAGACAGGAGGCAGTGAACTCCTTATCTCACTCTTTACCACTGTCCTCTTCCACCTTCCAGGTGACATGAGCCTCAGGGATGTGCAAGTGCTTGACATTTTTGCAAATGGCAGGAGAAAGTGTCCAGGGAGGCATCTGGGCTAGGGGAAGATACTACATGATGTTTTGGAACATGGCAGTGATTTCCTAGTGCAAGCTCAACTCATTCATTTTGTAAATGAGGAAAGAGAACTCCTGAGAGGGTATATGACTTGCCTAAAGTCATATACATTTTATATATTTAGTACATTTTGTAATATGGCAAATGTACTAAAGATCCCAATCACAGGCAGCACTCTCTTTCCATTACAGAAAATTGGAGGCCAATATCATAAGGCCTTGGTGGATGCCTTGCTAAGGAGGTTTGAGCTATAGTATAGGAGGTACATATAGTCATGGGCTTTATAATGATGTTTTGATCAAAGGTGAACCACATATATGATGGTGGTGCCAAAAGACTATTATATTTTCAATGTACTTTTTCTGTGTTTAGATATGCTTACCATTGTGTTCCTATTGCCTACAGTATTCAGTATAGCAATATCCTGTTCCAATTTGTAGCCTAAGAGCACTAGGCTATACCATACAGACTAGGTGTGTAGTAGGCTATTCCATCTAGGTTTGTGTTAAGTGCACTCTCTGATATTCACACAATGAAATTGCCTGATGATGCATTTCTCAGAAGGTATCCCCATCATTAAGTGATGCATGGCTGTATGTGTAAAATATATATCACATAAAATTCACCATGTTAACCGTTTAAGTGTACAATTCAGTGACATTAATGCATTGACGAAGTTGTTCAATCATCACCCCTAACCTTTGCCAGAACTTTTTCATCATCCCAAACAGAAACTCTGAGCCCATTAGATAATAATCTGCTATTTCCCCTCCCCCTCAGCCCCGGTAACAACAATTCTACCTTCTGACTTTATGAATTTGCCTATTTTAGGTATCTTATATATGTGGAATCATTCAATATTTGTTTCTGTGATAGGCTTAATTTGACTTAGCATGATGTTTTCAAGATTCACCCATGTTGTAGCATGTGTCAGTACATCATTCCTTTTTTCCCCATTTTCTCATTGTGGTGAAGTGAAAAAAAAATGTTTGTCATCTTAATGGTTTTTAAGTATACAGTTCAATGGTATTAAGCACATTCAGATTGTTTTGCAACCATTACCACTATCCATCTTTGTAATTCTTTTCATTTTGCAAAACTGAAACTCTGTACCAATTAAACAATAGCTCCCCATTCCTCCTTCCTCAAGACCCAGGCAACCACCATTCTACTTTCTGTCTCTATGAATTTGACTACTCTAGCTACCTCACATAAGTGGAATCATACAGTATTTGTTCATTTGTGACTGGCTTATTTCACTTAGCACAGTGTCTTCAAGGTATATCCATGTTGTAGCATATGTCAGAATTTCCTTCCATTTTAAAGCTGAATAATATTCCATTCTGTGTGTATACATACACACATACACATGAAGGGGCTTTAAAAATTTGTGGAAAATGCATATTACAAAAAAAGTATGCATGGATTTCAATTTTTTTTTTTTACACCAAAATGAACTCATGTACATTTGTTACAACATGTCTGAATAGGATCTAGTTTTCGGCACTAAGAAGGATAGATATCAGTTTGAAAAGAGCCCCTATCAGAGCAACATGAATTATGAAAAACTGAAGCAAGGGCAAACATGAAATTTATGGTGAAGTTTGGGGGGAAGAATGGTGAAATCACTGATACCTTATGAAAAATTTTTTGTGGGCAATGACCCAAAGATATCAGTGGTTTACAAATGGATACTCATTTCAGGAAGGAATGACAGGATGTTGAAGATGAAGTCTGCAACAGCTGACCATCCACATCATTTATCAGAAAAAAAAAATCTTATTCATGCCCTAATTGAAGAAGACGGATGATTAACAGCAGAAACAATAACCAACACCACAGGCACCTCAATTGGTTTAATTTACTTATTCCTGACTGGCAAATTAAAGTTGAGCAGACTTTCCACTTGATGGGTGCTAAAATTGTTGTGCCCAGATCAGCTGTAGATAAGAGTAGAGCTTTCGATGAAATACAAAACAAGTGGGATCAAGATTATGAAATATTTCTTTGAAGAACTGTAATAACAGGAGAAAAGATAAGACTTTGCCAGTATGCTCCTAAAGACTAAGCACAATCAAAGCAATGACTACCAGGATCTGGGAGCCGTCCAGTCAAAGCAAAAGCAGATCAATCAAGAACAAAGGTCATGGCAATAGATTTTTCGGGGGATGCTCACGGTATTTTGCATGTGGTTTTCTGTAGAAGGCCAAAGAATGATAATATCTGCTTATTATGAGAGTATTTGGAGAAATTAGCTAAAGCTGTAGCAGAAAACATGCCTGAAAAAGCTCCCCCAAAGAGTCCTTCTCAACCATGACAATACTCCTGCTCATTCTTCTCATCAAACAAGGGCAATTTTGCAAGAGTTTCAATGGGAAATCATTAGGCACCCATCTTACAGTCCTGATTTGGCTCTCTGACTTCATTTTCTAATCTTAAAAAGTCTTTAGCAGGGCACCCATTTTTCTTAAGTTAACAATGTGAAAAAGACTTCATTGACATGGTTAAGTTCCCAGGACCCATTCCAGGCCTGGTGGCTCACACCTGTAATCACAGCAATTTGGGAGGCTGAGGTGGAAAGATCAGTTGAGGCCATGAGTTTGAGACTAGCCTGGGCAACCTAGCCAGACCTTGTCTTAACAAAAAATTAAAAATAAACAAAATAGAAAAATTCCCAGGACCCTCCATTCTTTAAAGACGGACTAAATGGCTGGCATCATCACAGAATCATCTTAAACGTGGTGAAGCTTATGTTGAGAGCTAAAGTTTATATTTTTTAATTTTTATCTTTTAATTCAATTTTCCCACAAACTTTTGGAAGTTCCCATGTGAGTGCATGTGTGTATGCGGAACAGTTTGTTTATCCCTTCATCATTGATGGACATTTGGACTGTTTCCATGTTTTCACTACTAATAGTGAATAATAGCTAATAATGCTTTTATGAACATGGATGTACAAACATGCCTTTGATACCCTGTGTATTATTTTCACGAAGTTGATAAAGACATGCTTGAAACTGGGAACAAAAGAGGTTTAATTGGACCTACAGTTCCACACAGCTGGGGAGGCCTCAGGATGACAGGTGAAAGGAACTTCTTACATGGTAGCAATGAGAGAAAAATGAAGAAGTAAAAGCGGGAAACCCCTGAAAAACCCATCAGATCTCATGAGACTTATTTACTATCACAAGAATGGGAAAAATAGGCCCCCTGTGATTCAATTACCTTCTCCTGGGTCCCTCCCACAACAGGTGGAAATTCTGGGACATACAATTCAAGCGGAGATTTGAGTGGGGACACAGCCAAACCCTATCATCCTGCTTTTAATTTTTTGGGTTAGACACCCAGAAATGGAAACACTAAATCATCTGGTAATTGTAATTTTTAATTTTTTGAGGAAACACTCTACTGTTTTCTACAGTGGCTCTGCCATTTTACTTTCTTACCAACAGTGCACAGGGTTCCAGTTTCTCCACATTCTCACCAACACTTGTCATCATTTCTTTTTATAGTTGAATAATATTTTATTGTATGTATATACTATATGTATTTTGTTAATACACTTATGGACATTTGGGTTGTTTCTGTCTTTTGGCTACTGTGAATAGTGCTGCCATAAACATTGGTGTATGTTGTCGCTACTTTCAATACTTTGGGGTTACATACCTTGGATTGGGATTTCGGAACTGTGTGCCCCATTTTTTGAGGAATCTATGGGCTGGTAAAGGAAGGCTGTGCTCTGTAAGTCAGCGCTGTCCACCATCCCAGACTTCTGAGCAGACATCCCTGGGCGGGGGTCCTTCCTCTCTCCAGTGTGCTGCCCCGCCCCCTTGTTTCTCTCTAGAAAGCCCTTATCTGAGCCTCTTTTACGCGGAGGTGCGGCAGCTGGCACCGAAGATGGCCCTGGTGTACGGTCGGGCTGGCCCAGGGGACGAGGTTGGAGGCCGTCCCGGGCGTGTCCCCTGAGATTGAGTGTGTGGGCAGCGGGGGAGCTCCTCGGTCCTTTGCTCGTGGCTGAGCGGGGCCGTGTCCGCCCACTCCGACGGCGCCGGGCTGCCAAGGTGAGCCGCTGAGGAGCCCCGTGCCCCGAGGCGGGCACAGCCGCCCCGCCTGGGTGCCCCCGGCGCAGGGTCGGCGCAGAGCCCTGCCGGGAGCCCCAGAGCCTCGGTTCCCGCCCGGCGCGGCCGTTCCGGAGCCTAAGCCTGGAAACGCGCCACCCGCCTGGCCCGGATCCCTCCCGTGCGTCCTCGCCGGGAGCGGCCGCCCGGGCGTCCTGGACGCTCCTGCCCAGGGCGATCCTGGCCTCCCCAGCCCAGCGGGCACGGACGACCCCCTGACGCGCCCCGCCTCGAGCCGGCACCTCGGCGCCCCACAGCCATCAGAGGCGGGGACAGGGAGTCCGGGGCAGGCCGGGCCGGTCATCTGCGGCGGCGGCGCGAGCGTAACTCCCGCCAGAGCCGGGAAAGAGCCCCGAGCAGAGGAGGAAGGGAGCGGGGACCTACCCTCCGCCTGCTGGCTTCTAGAAGAAGCGTCTCCTGTTCCGGCCCTGGAATAAGAAGCCCGGACCTTATCCGCCCGATTCAGCGATGCTGCAGGTACCGAGCGCGCCCTCCCGGGGAGATGCTCCAGGGACCCCGCGCTGCACCCGAGGGGTGCGGCGGCTTCTGACTGAAGAGGGAGCTTTGCAAGGGATTCACTCCTGTGCATTTCTTCAGGAGAGTCAGGCTTTCCCTCTGCTGTCCTTAGGAGAAGCCGCCCAGGCTCTAGGGAGAAAATTGGGAGAAGGCGAGGGACTGATCTGCAGGGGTTTGTGAGAGAGGCTCCCAGCGATCGAGAGGTCACCAGGTGGGGTCGGATTGGGGTTCCCCTCTGAAAGGTGAGGATAAAGGAGAAGAGAGCAATGGATAGTCATCCTTACTCTCGTGACGCCCTCCTCTCCATCCCCGAAGTTTCTATACTTTGTTTTTGAAACGTACCTTGAGCCTTCAGGTAGCATGCTGGTAGGGGTACTCCCTCCGGAGTGCCATGTCTCTGCGACCCATGGGGCCTGCAAGGAGTGGGGCCTGTCCCGCCTTGGCTCCAAGCCTGCGCCCCTTCTTCTTTTCAGCTGAGTTTGCTTCTTCTTGACGGGGGCAGAGGGCAAGGGCTGAGCCAGACAGAACTGAGAGCTCAGTGGAAGGAAAAAATCAGGGTAAGGGGCTGGGAAAGACAGGCAGCAGTAGGTCTGAGCCCCACTGGGGCACAGAGGAACTTTAACCCTGGCTCCAGGAAGACAGCTCCAGATGTCTTGTCTTGGAGGAATAGGGAGAGCAGCCTTTCCTGGGGGTGGGGTGGGGTGAGGGGGTCCTTGGCATGTTCCTCATCTCCCATTTCCAGGAAGCTCAGGTTTGCATTCTTCCCGCTGTTCTCCTGACATTTGTTTTAGGATGCTCTCCAGACCTCAGCCCTCCTATGTCCCAGTCCCTGGTCTGATGTCTTCAGGATTTGGAAAGGACTGCAGGGAGAAGGCAGGGAATAGGGGGACTCTGGCTTCCTCCCTGTCCCCAGCAGGGCAGCTGACACCCCCTAGACTCCTCATCCCGGCCCCATTACGCGGTGTGGTGGAATTTCACTCCCCTTCCTTGTAGCTGACCAAGGAGGCCTAAGAGCTCAGTAGTAAATCCCTGCAGTTCTAGGGTATAACACTCTCCTCCAGGGAGCTCTGGACTGTGCAGACATTATTGATCTTCTGCCTGGCAGATGTTGAACCTCTGAGTGTTTAAGCTATTTACCTCTGGACACTCAACCAGCCAAGGAAAAAATATGCTCTAGAGTCCCCATTCTCACCACTTGGTTAGTCACAGGCTGTGACTTGACCCTACAGCCTGTGCCTTGTGACAGGCCTTTGTAAATGTTGTTCCCAGCTTCTAGGGTCACAGGAGGTTCTGATGTGGGAACATGAAGCCCAGCGAAGGGAGAGGAAGGTGGCTGCTCTATGGCTCTGTGATTTTAGAGCCTTGTTTTGCCAGAAGAGCAAGGAGAGCAGACAGGCTTGTCTGAAAGCCCTCCCTCTTCAATAGCATTTAAAGTAATTTCTTTCTCTTCAGCCTCCCCACACTCCCAACTTTTGTCTTTGAGAAAAGGTAAAACATTTCTGAATCTTCAGTGGAAGAGAAATAAGCCAAGCCAGTGCTTGATTGTCTCTATAGGAATCCACCCTTCCCTAACTGAGTGTGTGGTTTTCGTTCATTTTCTCATTAGTTCCTTTATTTCCATTCCACTACCCTATATTCTCTCTGGGCAGGTGGCTAATAGGTCTGCTTAGGTTACAGGATGGTTTTAAATTTGGCCAGCTTCACTCCAACATGCAGCCAACTGTTTGTATGCCTTTCAAAGGTTTAGAATGGAACTCAGATACCAGACCCCAAAGATGCTGGCAGAGACATTCTGACTCATTAAGGGAGAGCTGAGTGATAGCAGAGAGGGGTGACATCAGCCTTGCAGACATTGCCCCAAGGAATTCTGAGCACTGTTGCTCACAGCACTGCCTGGCCAGATGGAGACCACCATGGGGTTCATGGATGACAATGTCACCAACACCTCCAGCAGTTTCCTTTCTGCACTCAACCCCCATGGAGCCCACGCCGCTTCCTTTCCTTTCAACTTCAGCTATGGCGACTATGATATGCCTTTAGATGAAGATGAGGATGTGACCAATTCCCGGACATTCTTTGCTGCTAAGATTGTCATTGGCATGGCCCTGCTGGGCATCATGCTGGTCTGCGGCATTGGCAACTTCATCTTTATTGCTGCCCTGGTCCGCTACAAGAAGCTGCGCAATCTCACCAACCTGCTCATCGCCAACCTGGCCATCTCTGACTTCCTGGTGGCTATTGTCTGCTGCCCCTTTGAGATGGACTACTACGTGGTGCGCCAGCTCTCCTGGGAGCACGGCCACATCCTGTGCACCTCTGTCAACTACCTGCGCACTGTCTCTCTCTACGTCTCCACCAATGCCCTGCTGGCCATTGCCATTGACAGGTGAGTGCAGCCGCAGTGAGGGCAACAAAGGCAGTCAGGGAAGAAGAGGCCTTGGAACTGCCTCCTCCTGTGCTGTAGTTGTAGACTGATGAGACGTGTCTGTAGTCCTCCTAGAGATGGATGCATGGGGGATTCAAAAGCTTGACCATTGACTGACAGAAGAGTTCTCTTTTTCCAGCTTTGTTCAGACAGAAGGCAGCAGAGCCCTCTAGAGTTGGGTGATCGGAAGTTTTTGATGTTCCCTGCTATGGATGTTTTCCTAGATGTTACACCTTCCAAGGTCTAGAGTAGACGGGTAAGAGGAGATATTGAGGGACAGTTTAAGCTCCAGGCAGTTACCGCTGGAGTCAACTTGGAAATCTTGAAGGAGGTTTCTATCTCATCAAGACTTTCTCTACAAAAATATGATCTTCTGGCACCAGCTGTTTAAAAATAAGATTCAAGGATTTGTGGCTGGCTGTGGTAGGCAGTTCAAGCCTATAATCCCAGCACTTTGGGAAGCTGAGGCCGGAGGAACATTTAAGGCTAGGAGTTCAAGACCAGCATGGGGAACATATCCAGACCTCATCTTTAGAAAAAAAATCAGCTGGATGTGGTGGTGTGTGTCTGTAGTCCTAGCCAGTTGGAGGCTGAGGCAGAAGAATCACTTGAGCCCAGGAGTTCAAGGCTGCAGTGAGCTATGATCATGCCATTGCATTCTAGCCTCGGGGACAGAGGGAGACCTTGTCTCTAAAAAGCAAACAAAAATGAAAAGATTGAGGGATTTGTTTTGAAAAAAAAAAAGGAGAACATATGTTTATTTACTTTTTGTTTTTGCATTAATCACTTTGCACCTTTTAGTCCATTTGCACAGATAGTGCAGAAGACCTGTTTCTGGTGACCACAAATAAAATCAGGACGAGCAGCCTCTGCATATCTTTCTTCAATGTAGTCTCTTCCTTTAGTATAAACTCTTCCTTTAGTATAACCCCCTGCTAGAGGGTCAGGCTGGTCTTTGTTCCCCCAGGGATAAACTTTCCTAGCTCCTCTGCCCACAGTTGGCCTGTCATTACAAAGTACCTGGTTACAGTCTAGAGAGAGTTACCCTGAGGGTCAAATCAGGCCTCTGTGTACTTGGATTTGAACAGCCTGACTCTCTCTCTTAACCCAGAGAGCCTGAGGCATACCTGCTCTCCCTGTTCTCTGGCCTCAGGGATCTGAGGGGGATTGACCTGGCCCTCACAGTCAGGACAGTGTTCGGGGGAGGAGCACAGCTGAGAGAGCTTGTTTTCTGAGACCATAGGCAGGGTGACCAGGGCTAGGATGACTGGAAAGGATGACCTGAGAAAAGGGGATTACGAAGGAGTCTCTGTCTGTAAAACCGCTGAGAGGTGGGGCCTCTGCCTCCCTTCTCCAGGGAAGGACATCAGGGAATTAGGAACTTACATAGCCCTTGGTCTGTCCCGCATGGAAAAGGTGTCATCCTTGCAGAGCGCTACTTCTCCTTGGCCAGATTCCCTCCACTGAGTCACAGAGCCCCGCAGCTTTTAATTTACCTGGGCAAGGACCCTGGGTGAACCCACAGAAGGAGCAGGAGGGGAGCAGTCAAGTAGAGTATCTAACTCTTAGGTTCCCTTCAGAGCTGCCAAAAAAGAGCTCCAGGGAATTTGTCTCTGAACGTTTCTGAAAATAGAAGCTGCCACCTTCTCTCTTAGCCCATGAACAAGACAAAGCATACAGAATCATTTCCTAAAGTTTCATACTAGCAAGAAACTACATGTGCTCAGCTACTACAAGTGGGGTAGGGTGCCTCCTGTGGAGTAGGACCCTACTCCCCAGCTTAGATGCATTCTACCACCTGAGAAAAGTAACAACGGTAGGAGGGAGTAGCTTCAAGGGGAAAGGAAGCCAGGATACACTCAGAAGCATTGAGTTATTTGGAACATTTAAGAGTGATATCTATATCAATCAGTCAGTCTCCATCTACTGAACTTTTTCAAGATCATATCCTTGTTTCATACCAAACAGCTTGTCTGAAATATTGCAAGCATTTCTCTTGCAGTGTGAGTTTACACAAAGCAAATTAGATGTAATAAGAAAGTTGAATTAAAAAACACGGTGCTTTGCACCATGGGGGCTGCTATGGTTGAGTGGGGTTATGATTGGAAGCTTGTACCCAGACCTCGAGGAAAGCACCGTGTGCTTTCATAGGGCTACTCAATGGTCTTGGTGGATGAACGGCTGCTCCAATACATGGAGTTCTTTTAGTGATGTTTGTGATCTTTGCTTCAATTATTTTTATTTGTGTGCATTGTTACCATCTAATTGTGGTCTAGGAATCATTAATTTTTCTCTGGTTTCATGTGTTGTTCAGGATTTGATCAGTTGGGAGCAACTAATTTTTATCTTGGTTTATAACACATACACTTAGTTGTAAAAATGCCTTTATGTTTGTTTAATGAAATTTCTGCAGCAATGTTAGAAGTTATTCTGCCTGGGTTTAAATTCCAGCTATATTTTGCGTTGGATCTTGTGTTAGTTATTTGACCTCTCTCTGCCTCAGTTTTCTCACTTATGAAATGAGAATAAAAAGAAAGCCTATTGTATTAGGTTGCTTTGAGGATTAAATGAAATAATATATTTAATCGCCTAGAACAATATTTAAAACAGTAAGCACTAAATAAACAGTGGATATGATATTTCTTAAATTAACCCTTATAGGAATGTCTACCAAAAAAAAGCAGATAAATTAATGAATATTTCTGAAACACTAACTTCTTTGTTTTCATTGAAATTATTGTTTTTAGGATGTGATTCAAAAAAATTCAAGATTTCTACAAAATGGCAGAACAGAAATATTTATCATCTATCAGCTTGTATTTCTGTTTCTATTATTGTTTCCATTGTTCTCCCAGGCATCTAAACTAGAAGAAGATCTCCTTTGTTCCAGCTGCTCTCCCTTCTTCACCAGCATTCATTCAACTTCCAGATCTTGGCAATACCCATTTGTTCACTCAGGGCTGGTATCTAGTCTCCTCTTGGTCTTTCTGCCTTCAGTGTTTCTTGGATCTGTCCATTTGTCAACCCTACTCTCCTGACAATCCATCCTAAGCTTTCATTCATTCGTTCATTCATTTAAACCATGCATTTTTATAGAGTAACTGTGATATGGCAGATGTTATTGCAAGCACTGGAGACACGACTGTGAAAAAGACAAAAAAAAAAAAAAAAAAAAAAAAACCTTCTTGCTTTCCTGGAGCTTATACCCAAAGGATAGAGAGAGGACACAGTCAGGCAAACAAAAAAGGAAGGTAATTTCAGAAGCAAGAAATATTCTGAATAAAAACAAGCACACACATAAAATGGCCCCAGTGACTGAAGGTGGGACCTACTTTAGGTGAGTAGCCAAGAGAAGTATTTCTGAGGAGAGGCCTTTGGTCTGACTTCTGAATGATGCAGGGGAAAGAACCTGCCTTGGGAAGACAGGGATCAAGCATCCCAGACAAGGGGGATTCTAAGTGCAGAGGCTTGGAGGCAGGAACAAACCAGTTGAGTTCTAGGAACAGAGGAACAGAGAGAAGGCCCCATGTGGCCTGAGGGAAGTAAGCAAGGCTGCAGCCAAATTAATCTGTCTTGTGTGTGTCTCCCCTCTCTTGCTTAAAAGACCTCTACTGACTCCATTGTCTACAAAGTATGGCTCAAACCCTTTCACCTGTTCTTCCACACTCTTACTATCTAGCCCCAGACTGCTTCCCAGTCTCATGGATAAACACATTTATGTCCTGTTTTCCCAAAAAAGGTTGCAATCTTCACCATGGCCTTTTATATTAATATATATATGTGTGTGTGTATATATATATATTTAGAGATGGGTTCTTGCCATGTTGCCAGGCTAGTCTTGAACTGGTTTCAAGTAATTCTTGTGCCCCAACCTCCAAAAGTGTTGGGATTACAGGTGTGAGCCAGTGTCCAGCCAGCTTTTTTTTACATGTCTATTCATCCAGTTTCAGGCATATGATGAGGGTGAAGTGGCATGAAAATCCTATTAGGTGCTCAGAATTCACAGACAATAAAAGGTTGTAAAAGAAATAAGACACAATCACAGCTCTTGCAGGGCTGACCATCTAGAGTTGGGGGTAGGGTGGGACCAGGGAGAACTAACACTTACAAAACAGTTAAAGAATAAGTAAATTTAGAGAAGGGTGAGATCATTAGGTACTGGAGTAGTCAGAGGAGGCTTCATGGAGGAGGTAAACTTCTAACTGGCCTTCAACAAAGGAAGATCAGCAAAGGAGCAGGAAGTTTTCCCAAGAGAGTGAGTAGAACAGTGTTTGGAAAAGTCTAGAGGTGGGAATACCTGAGGCGAGAGTGAGGTACCTTAGAGAGGGATGTCGGGCATGGATAAGAAACACAAGGAGAGTAGAGATCAGAAAGAATAGGATCTATTCCAGAAGGTCTCAGCAGCCAGGCAGAGGGAGTGAAACCTGAGGGCAGGAGGAAACTAAAGAAGATCATGAGACCAGGTGCAGTGACTCACACTTGTAATCCTAGCACTTTGGGAGGCTTGGGTGGGAAAATCATTTAAGCTCATGAGTTCAAGATCACCCTCAGCAACATAGGGAGAGCCTGTCTCTACAAAAAAAAAAAAAAAATTACCAGGCATGTTGGCATGTACCTGTAGTTCTCACTATTTGGGAGTCTGAGATGGGAGGAATCCTTGAACCTAGAAGATAGAAGCTGCAGTGAGCTGTTATCACCCACTGCACTCCAGCCAGCCCCTGTCTTAAAAAAAAAAAAAAAAAAAAAAAGGATCATGAGAGAGCTCTGCCCCAGCCAGAGGTCTGGGTTTCCTCTTTTATGTGGAGACACTAAGATCCTGCAGCATGTGGGGGCTCCAGGGAACTTCCCTTTTACCTGGAATCCTGAGGAAACTGGCCAGTGTATGTACCTGTGAAGAAGCTCTCTTTTTCTGTCTTGATGAGGCTAAGGCCTGAGTAATCTCGCCCAGCTTTAGGAAGCACAGATACCTCCCGGTGAGCTCATTAGTCAGGGCCACTGGCCTGAGGATCGGGCCGTGTTATCTCGGCCCATCCCATGACTAGCCTAATAGCAGCTGGGACCACTGTTGCCATGATTTGATCTGGGGCTGGGTCCTGAGAACACAGGCAGAGCCCACATATGCCTTTTCCAGCCCACTATTATCAAAGTTATTGCCTGGACCATCTTTTTGTCTAGCAGCCTTCATTCCTTGATCGCTGAGAACAGTTAGCTCTGCATGAATCTGGACCTAAGCCACTGTAGTGGCAGACACACAGGGCAAGCCAAGGGCATATTCATAAGCAGAGAAAAGCAGCTGCCAGATGTCATACTCCTTCTTGCAACACCAATAGGTAGAAGCCAACTGTGATGAAGAGGAAAGAGGAGGAGGGCTGCTGGGATGCAAGGAAGGCAAGAGGAAGGGGCATCATCTGCTCTTGGCTGAGAAAAGAGCGGGGAAATGGCATTCAGAGATGCCACTGGATTTGCAGCAAGTCATCACTCTGTTGATATCTAGCTGTGTGGCTTTTTGGCAGGTTATTTAACTTCTCCAAGCCTCGGTTTTCTCATCTGTAAAGTGGACATCATCACTGTCTTACCTATTTAATAGGGTTGGAATTACCTAGTGAAAAAGTGGATTTGAAAGTGCTCTGTAAATTGCGAACTTCTTTACAAGTATTAAGCAAACATTACGAATACTAGAGTTCTGAAGTTCTGGTCCTAACATTGACAAAGTTAACAGAAGTCCTTGAAATAGTTTTCTGTAATTTGCCTATTGGTAAATGTATCAGGAAGACCTCTTACATAGCACACAGCACTAATTCTGGGAATGGAGTTGGGGTGATGTCAGAATGAAATAACTATCTGACAGTTAGTTACAGATTACTCTGAAGATTAGATTTGACATGTAGAGTTTATCCTATAAAACAGAAAGTAGGAGAAGACTTGCAAATCAAGTATTTGCCAATAACAGGTAAAGAAAAATACCTGTATATACAGAATAGGTCTGGGAAAAAATACGTTTTAAGATGCTAACAGTTCTTTGTATATTAATAGTTTACTGTTTCTTATGTGCAGTGTCTCATTGGAGCCTCATAGTATCTAGGTGATATTCACATTTTACAGATGAGGGAAACGAACCTACAGGGATAAGAAAAATGACTGAGATTCATAGAGCAACTTTCTGGCAAAGCTGGGATTGGATTTGTGGTCTTCTGAGTCCTAGGTTGGTGCTCTTTCCCATATGTTTATTGAAAACACACTCTGAGTTTGAAACATCATAAAGGCTTAGCTACTATCAGGAAAAAGAATAGTGAATGAATATGAATATAGGAAATTTCTTTGTCAGAGTAATCAGCAGAACGTAGTGGGGTGGACAGGGAGCAATGGCGCCAATGAGAGCAGAAGGTCTAAACTCTCAGTTTTCACTGTGAGTCAGGGGGAATTGGAGGCTCTGCTTGCATCAGGAGCACCATGGTCTTTATAAAGGGCCCACACTCTTGCATTGACAATGGCATTGCCAACACCTTGCAGACATTTCCCTTTTTATCCTCTGGCATTGGAGAGATTGGCTAGAGTACCAGGGATGGCAGTTGGCCAGGTGTCCAGAGTGGGCACAACCCAGCCTACTTCATTTTTTAATTTTTAAGATGGAGTCTTGCTCTGTCACACAGGCTGGAGTGCAGTAGCATATTCTCGGCTCACTGCAACCTCCATCTCCTTGGTTTAAGCAATTCTCCTACATCAGCCTCCCAAGTAGCTGGGATTATAGGCACCGGCCACCAAGCCCAGCTCATTATTGCATTTTTAGTAGAGACAGGGTTTCACCACGTTGGCCAGGCTGGTCTCGAACTCCTGACCTCAGGTGATCCACCTGCCTCAGCCTCCCAACGTGATGGGATTACAGGCGTGAGCCACTGTGCCCAGCCCCTACTTCATTTAACATCTGGGGGCTAGAAGAGAGCTGGAGGCTCACTCCTGTGAACTCTCTAAAGGGCTTAACTGCCCAGGCTGTTAGGGAGGAACAGAAATAGCAGAAATACAATCAGGAAAAAAAAAATAAATAAATAAAAAACAAGAATGAACCTCTCTTCAAATCAAAATTTCAAGAAGGATGACTTCATAGGGATTTGTTTCAAAGGAAACAGAGCTGGTTTGGCTTGGCTTTCCTTCAGGCCCCTGTCACACTTGCTCTGGGCTCTACCTGGGATAAGCTCTGGACACGTGAGACCGTGTTTGTTTCCAATGTTGGCCAGTCAATCCCCTCCCACTTCACCCCCCATCTCTCTCCTTTTACAACTTCCACCCGCTGCCAGCCACAGGATGTCTTCCAGGAAACCAGAGCTCTCTGCATGAGTTGTGTGCATTCTCTCTGGGAAGGAGGCTATCAGCTATCATGCCGCACAATGACTCACATCCCCCCAGAAAGTGCTCTCTCTTTGTGTTCCTGTACCATTGTGGTAACAGCAATGTAGGTTTTGACTTTTTTTTAAAAAGAACAAAAGCAGTATCTTTTACATTCTTCTGCTTTGTGGTTAAAAAAAAAAATTCATGTATATTCTCAATTGATTTTCACATCAACCCTGTGAGGTAGGGTTAAATGTTTTCTATCAAGGAAGGGTCCTGTGGTCTGTGACCTTGAGAAAGTCACTCATCTCTCACTGCCTTCCATTTTTCCACCTGGAAGATGAGGTTTTTGGCCACATGCTTTTCCTCCTCCTTTGCATGCAAAGCAACAATTTTTAGAATGTGGAATGAAGAAAAACCTTTGCCCACTGTTTCCATTGTAAAGGGCAGATTCTCCCAACTCTTTGCATTATCCTGCCCTTTTAGCTTTAAACTGCAAGGTAATTAGAATGAAAGCCCAAGAACAGGAAGCAACTGGGAACAGTGCCAGGCTAGAAACCAATGGGAGGAATTATTACATTTAATAATAATTGTTATCATTTTTGAGTACATATTAGGTTTAAAACTGTGCCAGGCATAGTGCATACATTACCACATTTAACAGCCAACAAAACTTTTGCAGATAAGGAAACTAAGGGTCAGTTTCCAAACTTGCCTGAGGTTGCACAGCTAGTTAGAGAAGAGGCTGGGGTTTGCTAGTCGGTCTTTTGCAGAAGCCCACATACCACTGGGAAGTTTCTCCATGCATATCATTTGGTTGCTCCTTAGAATGTTGCAAAATGAAATGGCAGGAGATTTGCTTGAGCCAGGAGTTTGAGACTAGGCTGGGCAGCATACAGAGACTCTGCCTCTACAAAAAATTAAAAAAAAAAAAAAAAAATTAGCACTTGTGCATTGTACCTCTAGTCCCAGCTACTTGGGAGGCTGAGGTGGAAGAATTGCTCGGGCCTAGGAGTTTGAGGCTGCAGTGAGCTATGATCATGCCACTGCACTCACTGCACTCCGGCCTGGTGGACAAAGCAAAACCCTGTTTCAAAAAATAAAAATAAAAATCATCCAGCGCTTCTTCCTCACAGTGGCTGCCTCCACGTGTGTTCTTGCCCTAGGTATCTGGCTATTGTCCACCCGCTGAGACCACGGATGAAGTGCCAGACAGCCACCGGCCTGATTGCCTTGGTGTGGACGGTGTCCATCCTGATCGCCATTCCTTCCGCCTACTTCACCACCGAGACGGTCCTCGTCATTGTCAAGAGCCAGGAAAAGATCTTCTGCGGCCAGATCTGGCCTGTGGACCAGCAGCTCTACTACAAGTCCTACTTCCTGTTTATCTTCGGCGTCGAGTTCGTGGGCCCCGTGGTCACCATGACCCTGTGCTATGCCAGGATCTCCCGGGAGCTCTGGTTCAAGGCGGTCCCTGGGTTCCAGACCGAGCAGATCCGCAGGCGGCTGCGCTGCCGCAGGAAGACGGTCCTGGTGCTCATGGGCATCCTCACCGCCTACGTGCTGTGCTGGGCGCCCTTCTACGGCTTCACCGTCGTGCGCGACTTCTTCCCCACCGTGTTCGTGAAGGAGAAGCACTACCTCACCGCCTTCTACATCGTCGAGTGTATCGCCATGAGCAACAGCATGATCAACACCCTGTGCTTCGTGACCGTCAAGAACAACACAGTCAAGTACTTCAAGAAGATCCTGCGGCTCCGCTGGAAGCCTTCTTACAACGCTAAGTCCAGCGCAGACCTGGACCTCAAGACAATCGGGATGCCTGCCACCGAAGAGGTGGACTGCATCAGACTGAAATAACCCCCTGGACTTGGCAAAGTTTAAACACAAGGCAGGGTCCTGGGGACACAGACCGGTGCGCTTGGATGCACATCAACCTGGAACTTTTTGTTTGCTGCCGAGGGCAGAGTAAATGGACCACTCTATGAACACTGTTCACGGAGCTCAGAATTTCTAAAATGCATGTGACCAGACACTATCGCCAGTGGCATTTGTTGAATGTCTGATTCGTACACCAGTAGGTACTGGTAAAACCTATGTATGTTGATGACATTTAGTTGGCAAAATGAAATTTAAATTAAACCAAGGAAAATGTGTGGTGTACATAGAAATAAGGGAGTGTCCACAAAAGAACTGGAGTAGGTATCTAGGATTGCAGTACATGTGTTCGTAGTGTGAGGGTGTCTCTGGGCCATCCAGCTACTCATAAGACACGGATCTAGCTCACCTTTGGGAATACTCTTCAGCTGGAGTTCATGCCTAACATTTGCAAGGCTGGAGCAAGAATACAGAAAAGACACGAGGCTCCTTCTGAAGACCTTCTCCTCTCATCTCTCATGGCAGGGAGCCTTACACCCTTAGGCATTGACATCCCAGTATTCATGCCTAAGATCTGTGCAAACGCTTCCTCCCTCACTGCTCTATTGCCACCCTCAGGCCCAGAGCTCTGCACATAAGTGGTAAGGCTCTTCATCAGCAGGACTGGCTTGGAGAAGAAGACACATAGACCCTGGATGCCATTTGGACAGGGAATTATGGGGTTCTGGGTACCTGGAGTAAGTCCAGAGGGGTTAGCCTGGATTCAGGGTAGTCATGTCCCCTGGCTCCATGAACCTTTTGCCTTTGGTAGGGAGGGAGGGAGGTGCAGTTGGGGGAGAGTCAAAACAGGAAGGCAAAACCGGAAGCATGTGGGGCTCAACGCAGCTCAGGACAGGGGTCAGGCTCTCCAGGTATACAGATGATACTGTTCCCACCTGTTATTTCAGTTTGAACCAATTAGGTTCCCCTTAAGTCTTTCCCTTCCCTCTCATGCCTCCATGTTTGTGAAGCATAGGATCTTCGAAAGTGGCCACAATATCTCCTGGATGTGGCCTTCATTCATTTTTCCATTTTCACCAGCTCTCAAATATAAGTGATGAAGAGTTCCCTCCTAACCAGAGAGTGTGGTGAGGAATCCTCATCCATATGATTAGAGGGCAAGATATCCTTGTTACTGGTGCCTGAATCCCATCCTAGTCATTGTTCCTTTGGATTAAGACTTGCTTTGCTTCTAAAACAGGGGTCCTCTTGGGAGGCATAAGCCACACATTTCTAGTCCTCAGTGTGAATGAAGTCATGTGATCTAGTGGCAGGTCAGATGTATCTTCCAGAAGACTGTGGAAACCTGGGCACCCAAGAAAGAAGGGGGCATACAGATGGGTAGTGTCAGACCAAACAGTGAGCTTCAGTGACCCTACAGGCTTATTGAAGACTCATCCCACTTTCTTTTCTTTTCTTTTCTTTTCTTTTTTTTTTTTTGAGACGGAGTTTCGCTCTTGTTATCCAGGCTGGAGTGCAATGGCGCGATCTCGGCTCACCGCAACCTCCGCCTCCTGGGTTCAGGCAATTCTCCTGCCTCAGCCTCCTGAGTAGCTGGGATTACAGGCACGTGCCACCATTCCCAGCTAGTTTTTTGTATTTTAGTAGAGACGGGGTTTCACCATGTTGACCTGGATGGTCTCGATCTCTTGACCTCGTGATCCACCCACCTCGGCCTCCCAAAGTGCTGGGATTACTCATCCCACTTTCTAACCTGCCTCCTTTGTTTCATGTTTTGAGTTTTGGAGTTTGGTATTTTGGAATTGGAAGATCTGAGAGCCTGCCTTGACTCTGTCACCTGTGTAGCCCTGGGCAAAGCCTCTCTGAGGGGACAAAAGTAACACCTGTGATTCCTTCCGACAGAGTGGCTGTGAGAAGCCAATGAGACGATTCGTGGAAAATGCTTTCAACCACACAAGTTGCCAAAAGGATGGACTAGGAACTGTGCATAGTGTGCCTGGACAAGAAAAACCTCTTTCTTTGATATGTGTATCCAGAAACCTGGCTGTCTCCACTTTCATTTTCCTTTGTGTGAATTATTCCTTGGTACTTCTTACAGCACTGTATGCATTATGTGCCTAATAACATGGTTGTACAAACAAGGCCATGAGATTTGTTGGTAGATGCATGAAGGAAAGGGTCTTTGGTCAGAAGGTGAGTTTAGGGTTTTGGAAACTCCAGAATCGGAGCATCTTTGTGATCCTGGAAGTACTGATCATTTTCCCATGCCTGTTCCCAGCCAGCATGAATATGGGCAATGGGATAGTTGTTTCTCAATCTGTTTTTATTCTCACGAGTGTGCAAAGCTATAGTGTGGACTTGTCTTTTTCTTATTTAATTTGAGAGCAGCACACTTACAAGGTTATTTAAGTAGCCCCTGTGTGGCATGTTCCCTTCCAAATACAGTCAATGCCTTATTTTTGGCAGCAAAATTTACTTTGTATGGTAACTTTATTTCCCTGAAAGACACATTTCAAAACCTACTTATTTCTTCCCATTTATCACCCAAAAGACTCACCCTACAATTTACTCAGAATGCTCTTGGAGAATAAAATTAATTAAAATATTAGCCTAAACCAAACAGGCATTGGAAAGCCACTAAAATTTTTTTATATAAAATCATATATTATGTTCTTAAATCTGGAAAGTTGGCATTTGGATTAAAAAGTTAACAATGATATAATTTATTGTCATTATGTTCACCCCTTTTATTAAGAATGCAAAACAAGAGTTGATTGTATTAAGTAGGAGCTCTTTATATTTGACAACCAACCCCCCCTGCTTTTCAGCCTAAAGTGCATCAATTTTTTGCTCAACTATCTGTAATACTTCCCAGTATTAGTGTCTGCTTGTAATTTTATAGTGAATGAGAGTGTTGTGTTATCAGGTGAAATGAAAATACCTGTATATGTAGAAAATCATGGAGTGCCATGTCCTGTGAATACCATCTCCTTTCCTGTTTTTTTCCTAGTTGTAGTGAGACGGTTCTTTGAGTGAACACTAAGTAGTTTCCATGATCATGTGATTTGTGAGATCAGTGCTAACTCATGCTGCTGCTGCCTGCAGACTTCCCCTCTCCATCCTAAAGAGATTTAACTGATTTATAGATCCTCTTCCTAGAAGTCTGTTCTGGTAAAACCATTAATACTTTTTAGTATCTGAGTGCCAAGACTTGAAATCTGAGGACCTGTTTATGTCTATTGCATAAGCTAAGGCTAAACCTGAACAGTCTTAATATCCATACTTGCAAAGTGAGTAAGAGACAAGCCTGTGAAATACCATGCCATGTTGAGATTCATCCAACTAGCTGCCCACTTGATGGCTTCTCCAAAAACTGATGGTAAGCCCCAGAAAATGGCACTTGTGCCCATGTGTATCTATTCTGTTCTCTAAATCCTTTCAGTATGCAAACAGATACACACATTGTTTTTTACAGAAGGATAAAGATGTGATTTTGTAAGATCAAACTGTTTCCATAACTAAAGCATAAGGGCAGATTTACAGTAAAGCTTTTGGAGATTCTGCCTACTGACTACAATTTTAAAAATAATTGGAATGACACTAAACAAGGCAATGTAGTGATCACTCCAGCAATTCCCGAAGCGTGAAACAAGTTCCATGCCTCTTATGAAAAAGAATGCCAAAGAATTTGTGAGATGACCAGAAAATTATAAATGAGTTCTATTCTTGAAAAATATGATATATTTTGGAATATATCCACAAACAATGAGTCCAATTCTCCTTCCTAGGGTCGAAGTGAGAATATCAAATTCAAACCATTCATTTCACAGCTGATGAAACTGAAGTCCAGAATGGGGAATATATTTGTTAACGGTCACACATCTGGTCACTATGAGAGCCAGGGTAAGACCTCAAGACTCCTAAAGTCCAGGGCTTTTCTACCCCAGAGTTCCTGGATGCAGGGAGCATCAGAGTCTTAGAAAGGGCAGGATCCTTTTCAAGAATCCTTGAGGTGACTGTTCAACCCCTGTCTGGCCTTCTCTAGAGACCCCTTACTAAAGAAGTTTAGCAGAGACATTCCTGGTTCTTTTGCATACCAAGTTTAGCTCATTCTGCCCCTGGGAACTCATAGCACAGGCACAGAGGCCAGGAGAATTTAAGGAAGAACTGCTAAAAAAGTGTTTAAAGATGCTCTTTCTTTACCTTGCCTAATTGGGCATCCCTAGAAATCTAAAAGGAAAAACACTAGGCCCCTGTTCATGAGAACAGCTGCCCTCCCCAGGAAAGTAGAGGAGAGAAATAAAGAAGCCATACTTGGTTGAATGTCCAGATGGGTGGGCAGACCCTGTGTGCTCAGAGTTTAGTCACATCGAGGGCCACCTCCTGCCTCTGCCAGTGAGGACAAGAGAGGCGGGGAGGCTTTTGGAACGAGGTGAGACTCGAGCTAGACAGAAGCAAAAGGTGCAGAGAAACAAATGGATGAGCATTCCATCTAGGAAGAGAAACATTTCTATCTCTCTCTTTCCTTCCTTCCTTCCTTCCTTCGTCCCTTCTTCCCTTCTTCCCTTCTTTCTTTCTTTCTTTCTTTCTTTCTTTCTTTCTCTTTCTTTCTTTCTTTCTTTCTTTCTTTCTTTCTTTCTTTCTTTCTTTCTTTCTTTCTTTCTTTCTTTCTTTCTTTCTTTCTTTCTTTCTTTCTCTGTTGCCCAAGCAAGAGAAACATCTCCCTCCCTCCCTTCTCTCCTTCCCTCTCTCTCTTTTTCTTTCTTTTTTCTTTCTCAAAGTCTTGCTCTGTTGCCCAGGCAAGAGAAACATTTCTCTCTCTCTCCTCTCTCTCTCTCTCTCTCTCTCTCTCTCTCTCTCTCTCTCTCTCTTTCTCTCTCTCTCTCTCCTCTCTCAAAGTCTCACTCTGTTGCCCAGGTTGCAGTGCAGTGGTGCAATCTCTGCTCCCTGCAACTTCCGCCTCCCAGATGATCACTCTTCAAGTGATCCTTTTACCTCAGCCTCTGGAGTAGCTGGGATTACAGGTGCCTGCCACCATGCCCAACTAATTTTTGTATTTTTAGTAGAGACGGGGTTCCACCATGTTGGCTAGGCTGGTCTCAAACTCCTGACCTCAAGTGATCCCACCACCTTGGACTCCCAAAGTGCTGGGATTACAGGAGTGAGCCACTGCGCCTGGCCTGAAACACTTCTTTTATCTGCTTTTGGAGGCTGAAATTGCAGTTCACTGGAGGGAAGGACCTCTCACACAATGATGGGA